TTTTAAGTTTAAAAAGGGACAAACAGCTTTGGTTTTATAGTCACATAATTCCAACTTGTGACTTTGAGTACTCCGAGTTAGTTCGGCTGTCTGGAGTTGTGCACGTGCTTTCACCATGCCCCTGTCTCAGATTGCGAGACCTTAAATCACCGTGCAGACAGACGATACAGATGGGCTGTGGGGTGGGGCGCAGCAGCGGGGCTCCACAGCTGCTATCTGCATTCTATCTCAGCTGCCTTTGCCATCTGGGGCTTGAAAAAGCAAGACCACCAGAGTGGCCAGGGAAGTGAAAGACAGCAGTCACCTTATCTGAAGCCTCAGTGGAGGAGAGAAGGGGCTCGGCCAGAGCTTAACTCCCGCACCTGAGAGCCTGGGCGATGCGGGGAAGCAAGCCAACAGGGGAGGGACCACAGGTGGGAGAAGCTGAAGTGGGAGTTTGGCTGCAGAGGTGCAGCCTCGATCGCTGACTCGTGGTGGGAGTGCAGGACTCCATAGTGGCTTCTCTGGGTGAGAAGCTACTCCGAGCCACCAGCTCCATCACAGTGTCATGCCCAGCAGATGGTGAAAAGTAAAGCCAGGCCCCTTCCTTTCCCACAGAGATCAACCATTTTAAGCCAAACCTGTTTTTTCCCCCCAGCTATGCAGAAAGGTTGCAAACGAATCTTACGGTGCCTGGAAAAGGAAGGAGACACCTGTGAGCGTTCCTGGCATGCCTGGGGAAGGAGCCGATGGGTCGTGCTACCACCTGTTACTGGTGCCGGCTGGTGACAGCGGAGCGTGGCAGCATGCACCAGTGCCATTCTGATGTTTAACATCAACAAGTCCTTGCTAGACCACCAAAACTCATGTGTGTAGGGCCATCCCAAGAGTTGCCTGTCTTTGATGGAGTAGGATGGCGGAGGAGGATTTAGAAGGAGGATTAGAAGATTTAGCTCTGGTGTTCAGAGCAAATGGACATCTGAACAAAACAATTGTTAAATGGGATGAGTTCAAAGGAGAAAATCCAGCTTAGGCAAGTGACAAAATGTCACAGGCTGAATGAAGAAGGCAAAGTGGAGTAGCCAAGTTAAATGGAGGCTGTAAAAGGGTTTTATATGGAAACGCACAGTGGGGGGAAGGGGCAGAGGGGCAGGACTACGATGAGCAGGGAGTCAAAAATGCTGAAGGGCCTAAATGAAAACAGTTCATGTAGAGTTTAGGAGGGGTTAAATGCACAGGTGATTTGACTGGCATTTGATCTTGCATAATTTCTTTGATTATTGGATCTGTGACTTGAAAACTGTGTAACTGAAATAGCTCAAAGCAGCTTTAACATACGCATGGAAATGAAGCGAAATACAAAACAATATACTTTTTTTTTCTCCTCCCCTTCACTGGCTGTTCTCTGAGCCTGTTTCTGAGGTGAGCAGAGGAGGGGCTCTACGTTTGGATACCCTGCTTTTTCTTTGTACTTGCCATGACTCCATACATTTGCCTCAGGGAGCCAATTATAGGGCAGAAATAAAGCACCATCAGCTTTTCATGCAGGAATTTCATCTTCTCAGAACTGAAGAGTCTTAAGAAGAGCAGATAGTAATTCCTCGCTGATAAATGCTTCTCAAAAGTGGGCGGGATGCTGGCCAGCAGTACCTGTGCGCCTATGAATTAAGAGTTGCTGCTGCGGGGCTGCTGGTGGAGACGTGCTTCTGGCTTTAAAGGGTGATCCTCACCAAAGCCTCCAGCAGCATGAGGGTGCCTGGGGTGCCAAACGTGGCCGTTGGCTCTAATCAGTACCTGAAGAGGGGGAAAAAGGCTTTTCAATATCAGTGCTTTCAGTTATTCACCATAAAAGCATCCTACTAACTGAAATGAGGTAATGATAACTGAATAGCCACTCTTCTTCCAGTTAATTAATGCAGATCCTGTAGGAATGCTTCATATTCATTGTGCCAGATGAGCACACAGCAAACAGGTAAAATAAACGTCACTGCAAGCAGAAAAAGCTTCAGTCTACTAAAGCTGTAACACCAGGTAACTCACAAACCCGCTCGCTGAGATTAAATACGAATGTGCAGATGGACACCTATCTTACACCTCATATTTTGCTGCAGTAAAAAAAAGTATCCATCTGCTTTTACTCCTGAAGTTGCTCCTAGCCTGGTGACACAAAAGGAAAGAGAAATAAGCATTTTTTTGTTATGATTACATGTTAGGGCTTGACAGTGTGATGAGAATCTGTCTCAAATTCTGTAGGTGCTGAAGGGTGGGTGTTGCTCCATTCCTGCCAGCGTAGGCCAAGATCACATTTATTTGATTTTTTTGTAGAGCACGTGATAATACATCTTAATTTTCCTGGTGTGGTTTCTTTTTTTTCTGTCTTCAATTGTGGTGGAGTCAGATCCAGTAATAGGCTTTAGGGTGAAACTGATGTTTCACTACAAGCCCACTGCAAAAAGATTAGAATTCCAAAAGATTCTTAAGTGTCAGCAGGAAAAGGCTGAGGAAGAAGGGGATGTGACTGACTTTCCTGGCCTCTTGGCTCAGAAATGTCATTTATTGCCTTTGTGTGCATTATGAACTGAAGATGTTCTGTGCCCTGTGGCAGGACAGCTGTTCAGGGTAAGACAGAAGGGCTTGTGAACAGTAACGGGGTTACTGGTGTTCGGGGGTGAAGGGTTTGAGGTATGAAGTGTTTTTCCTCCAGAGCGGGGGTGTGTGTGTGGGTATGTGTTTAATTCCG